GAGAGAGAGAGAGAGAGAGAGAGAGAGAGAGAGAGAGAGAGAGAGAGGAAACCTAAATATAAACAACAACACAACCATATGTGCCTTAAATGTTCACATTTAATATTTACGAATCAAACACAAAATATAATAAAATGTAATTGTTGTTTTCATAACTACCCTTTGAAACAAAAGACAGCTTATTTTCTCTTATTTTTACAGTATTTTAAAACTTTCAATGCAATATTCCCCTGAAATAAATGACTAAAATGTCTTCCTTTTCCCTTCATGTATACAATGAAAAGGAGTTTTGTGGATACTAGTAGGGGAGATCTTAGAAGCTGTCACTTTTCTCGTTACACAGAGGACATCCATCTGAGTGAGGTTCCTCAGGTCTGATCAGGCCACAGTCTACAGTGCTCAGCCAAGTATTTCAGCCTGCAGGAGGAGCATGTCACCAAGGAAAAGAAAATGGGAATCCATTCCATCCATTCCAAATCCTAGGAAAAACATGGTAGGTTATTTCTACTTTTTGATAACACAGAGCCCCAGCCCCATAAAATACTAGTGTGGTCTCTTAGTCATGAGTTTGCAGAACAGTCAGGAAGATCAAGTAATGTAAAGATAAAGGTAAAATACACTATGAAATATATATAAAATTTTCCAGTTTTCAACTTAGAAATTAAAATATCACTTGCCAAAATGTTGTTAATAACTCTTATAATCATTCTACTTATGTTGGTTTTATTTGGACTTTTGAGACAGGGTCGTCTTCTGTAGCCAAGGCTGACTTGGTCCCCTCTTAGACTTCTGAGGGCTAAGAATTGAGGCACTAGTCATCACACCCTTCTCCACTCATGTTTTAAAAAGAAAAGTATCTTCATTGTTGGACAATTCCAGTAAGTAGGAGCACCACTTACAGGTATAATATCATGGATATTGTATGTAGTAAGAGTGTTGTTCTCCTTTACCTGTTTTGTTTGTTTGTTCGTTTTGTGTTTAATTAAGCAGACTGCACTGTTGGGCCTACCTTGTTTATCTTTCATGCTGCATCAAAGAAAGAAATCAGTGTGTTCTGGTCATAGCTATCGAGAATCTCCAGGAGTACAGGTACTTTGGTTTTTACATTAGTGCCTTTGAACTTGAATTTATCTATGAAAAGATCAGTAATCATACCTAGAAAGAAAAATATTTGTCATTGGTTAGTTCTTTTAAAAATGCGTGTGGCATTCTATCATCAACTGAAATTCCATTATTCAACATATACAAGCCTAGAAAAGGTTGATGCTTTTAAAAACAGATGGGTATGTGGGGAAGGTTTGAAGCAACTTTCAAGACATAAATATTTGATCATCCTCCTAACAATGGGCTGTAACTGCTGATTCACACGAGCCACTGCCAGCCATTTTGAATTTCTGTTGACGCACACTGCATCACAGCAATTGCTGTTCCATCAGGAAGCGGTGTCTGAATTGAAACACTCCACCTATGGGCTTACTGAGTGCAGAGGTCTGGGAAAATTACTTCATCTTTGAGTTTTCTAGATGGAAAACAGGGACAACTCAAGTTGTCACTTACTTATACAAGAGCTTTGAGAAAAGTATATTTTAGGAAGAGAAAAAAGGAGAAAAAGAATATACCATGGATGGTATTGGTCCAGTGGGACTGAGTGCATGCCTGCTAAAAATTGGCAACACTTTTACCATAAAGTATACAGGTGAATATTTGCACTAAATGGAATAAAAAAAAAAGATTAGAAAAAGCCTTGTGTCAGTTTAAATCAGGCTTTATCATGAAGTCAATCAGATTAAGACAGATTTTACTGTTAAATGATTTACAAAAGTAAAACTTTGGTTTTCAAAGTCACTTTCTGGATTCTGGAATCACAGATGAGAGATGGTGGATCTGCACCACCATCATGTAAGGATGTTGTAAAAGAGACCCTGTGCTTGCCATATAGTGAACACTAAGATATCAGTACTGTTCATTTGTGAGAAAGTCTTCGGTGCAAAATAAATTATGTAGGCAAGTTAGTGGATCATTGTGGGCTGATGATACCAATGTAGGCAGTAGGCCTACATTTCAAGGAGAGAAGGGCCTAATGAAAGCTTTGCCAATAACGAGCAAGCTTTACTCTCATGTTTTAACTAAAGATTATTGAAAATGAAGATACAATCATTTACCTTGCAGAGCTGTTACAACAGTTAAATATCTCAAGAAAGATGGTACAGTGTGCTGCACACAAGAGATCTTAGAGAAAGACTGCAGTCAAAGTCTTCTCTTACTACCCCCTTCCTCCATCTCTGCCTTCTCTTCCCTTGGTCTTTTCACCTTCTTTCAGTACAGTCTGTAACATACCCAACTTATCACCAAAGCAAAACAAGTTTTGGCTGTAAACTTAAACATCACATAAATATCCCTACTAATTTTTGCCTAAATAGATTAAATGCTGAATTTTTATAATAGCAACAGAAACTGAAACAGTGTGATTTTTGCCTAAATAGATTAAATGCTGAATTTTTATAATAGCAACAGAACCTGAAACAGTGAGAAACAGTGTGGATGCCTAGGCTGTGTGGGTTGCAACACCTCTTCACTATACACATATATGTTCATGGTATAATTCCACTTTCACATTTATTTGCATTTTAAAGTAAAAAAGGTTAAGATGCAAGGACACATTGGAAAAATACATAAATATTTTGTACAATAAACTGGTTGCCACTGGTTCATGGCTGCTGTGATCTCTGTCTAGTTCCTTTCACAAGAAAATAAATAATCAGACAAACAAACAAAAAAACCCCAAAGAACTGCTGAAAAGAAGCACAGCAGGTTTTTCCAGAAAGGTCCACTCACCATAGAGTCTTTCAAGATGTGCAGGTTGCTTTTTGTATTCCTCTTGTAGATGATCTGCCTCTTCTAGAATACAGCGATACTCTGGAATCAGAAAGTTTGTGTTTCCCTCATGAACCTGCAATTCCTTATGTAAAATAGAAAAAGAAATAGAAGCACCTTAAAGGTCAGATTTTATTTAGTGTAACAATGTGTTTATAACTTAGAAAGCCCAGAGCTAACAGTTGTGTTCATGATCCCACTGACACACACCCTTACCTTCAAGGCATCAATTAACTGTACTTTCTTAGCCAAAAGCAACTGATATTCCAGCTTCGGGTGAATTAGCTTTAAAGTATGCTTGACTGATACTTCATTTATCTCTAGAAGAAGTTGGTCAGGCACAGTTAAGTCATTTTCATGAAAAACATTGTTATTATAACTGTAAAAAATTGGAATGAACAATTTTCCTTTTTTTACCATATGATATGTTGAGATTAATTTTCCTTTTTGTAGCTTCTTTAGAAAGCACATCTTTTAGGATGGATATTGTAGAAATGTTGTCAGATTTAAACACTCCATCTCCTTTTCTATAAAATCAATATATTTTTAAAGAAAAGTTGTAGGAGCAAGTGACCATAAATACATATTTTTAGCTAGTGTTTAGATTTCATTTAATTTTACATGATCTGAATATATCACTAAGGTAAAGCATAAATATGTATTCTGACCTTTGCCATACCAAGTCAGCTTCTGAACTCAAAACTAAATATCCTATGACACACATACATCTTAAGATGAAAAAAAATTTTTTTTTGAGACAGGGTTTCTCTGTGTATCCCTGGCTGTCCTGGAACTCACTCTGTATAGACCAGGCTGGCCTCGAACTCAGAAATCCACCTGCCTCTGCCTCCCAAGTGCTGGGATTAAAGGCGTGCGCCACCACTACCCGGCAAGATGAAAAATTTTAAGTACTTCATTTAAAATATTTCATGAATATTAATATTGTCAATAGCAAACCTCATATATAAATTGTATTTGGAATTGCTTATTTACACACCGACACACATATGCTTTTCTTTAATATAATCACAAAAAAAAACCTGTATTACTGTATTTTTATTCTTAAAATAAACCTGGTATCTAACCTGAGAGACATGTGATATTTTTCAGGAACAGCATCGACTGTCACAGCTTGTGATCTCAGGACCTTAGTTTTCTTTAGGATCCCTACTTCTCACGCTAGAAAGAAGGAGCACACTAGGCCGGGCGGTGGTGGCGCACGCCTTTAATCCCAGCACTTGGGAGGCAGAGGCAGGCGGATTTCTGAGTTCGAGGCCAGCCTGGTCTACAGAGTGAGTTCCAGGACAGCCAGGGCTACACAGAGAAACCCTGTCTCGAAAAACAAACAAACAAACAAAAAAAAGAAGGAGCACACGTGTAATCTCAGGGGTTAGGACGTCCCATGGAGCACACGTGTGACCTCAGGGGTTAGGACGTCCCACCAAGGACAAGGGTAAATTAATAGTGTTCAAGCTGCATTTTCAGATATTTGGGACACGGTGAAAATTTAAAATCTATGAGTTAATGAGAATTAACTATTTTTCAAAGCTATAGAAAACAGTCTCAACAACATCATAGCAGAAAAGTTCCCTAAGTCAGTCAAGGAAATGGCTATGCAGATACAGAGACAGTCAGAATGCCAAACAGACAGGGCCAGAAAAGAGCTCCTTGTCAGTAGAGTTAAACCACTAAATATTTAGAACAAAGAGAATTCATTGAGAGAAGCAAGAGAGAATCATCAAATCACATATAAAGGCAGGCTGAAACCTTAAAAAGCTAGAAAACCTACAGTTTTTCAAGTTTTGAAAAGAATAAATGCTAACCCAGACTACAGCTCCCAGCAAAGCCATCAGTCATAATTGAAGGGGCAAGAATTGTTTTTCATAATAAAAACAATTCATGACTCTCAGAAGGTACTTGACTGGATTCTCCAACTGAACAATAAGACAACACACACATGGGGGCCCAGAGGAAGGATAAGCCAGTTTTGAGTAATAACATTTAACCAGAAGAGAAAAGGAAAACACTAAAATACTACAAAATCAGCAAAAGGACAGACAATCATATACAGCTTTCAGTTATGAATCTGAATATTAATGGTCTCAATTTCCCAGTCACAAGTCAGAGACTTAACAGAGAGGACTGAAATTTAGGAACTATCTACCTGTTGTCTCTAAAGCCCATGTGTCATGTCACCATCAGAGACAGAGGCTACTATGGGTTAAATGAAAGGATAAATGTGTCCAAGCAAATGAGGTAATAAGCAGATGTCATTGTTCTGAAATCTGACAAAATAGACTTTAAACCAAAGCTAGTCAGAGAAGATAAAATGCCTAACTTCATATTGATGAAAGGAACAATCTGTCAAGAGGACAATATAATTTTCAACATACATGAACTGAACATGGGTCCACTGTATCGCATAAAACAAATATTAATAGAGGTAAAGTCACAGGTTAGCCTCCATACAAGAATAACAGGAAACTTCAACACCCCATTCTTACTGATTGACAGACCATCGGGGCAAAAAAATAGAGATATCTTAAATGGCATCACAGATCTCATTGGTTTAACAGACATCTTTAGAACATTCCATCTAAAGACTGCATTATATTTGTAATTCAAATATTGCCACAGGTTTTATATAGACATTATTGGAAAAATATTAATCTTTATATATTCATCTTTACTAATAACATTTTTACACTCATTAATTCTATTTACTAGCTTCTGTTGAACATTATAGATTTTCAGTTACATTATTCTGAAATTATTCCTGACTTAAAACAAATTAAAAATAGGTGTTTTATATGACGACGATTTAACAATTAATCTGATTTACCTGTATACACACTCAAGTTGTGTATCCAGAAAGGTATTCTGAAAGTAAAATGTTGCACATTCCCCTGCTGGAGGCTTTTCAGGAACTTCAGGCAGGCAGAACACTACCCAGGAGTGAACTTCAGCAAAGCTGAACTGGCCTATTAGAGTCAGTGTGTTCATGGGCCTGCAGTTTAACAGTAGAGGCATACATTTGTGTAGATCAGGGAAAAACTATACATACACGTTTATAAGCAGAATTTCAAATACAGCTAAACATTTTGTCCTATTAATTTTTTAACTTTTATACAGGGCTCTCCGTGTCAGTCTTCTTGCATGAGTCTCTCAAGTGCTAGATAGTTACAGGTATGAGCTACCACTCTCAGCTTTAAATAAGTACTTTTAAAAAGTTGTTATTATTGTTGTTGTTTTGGTTTTTGTTTTTTTGAGACAGGTTTTCTCTGTGTAGCCCTGGCTGTCCTGGAACTCACTCTGTAAACCAGGTTGGCCTCGAACTCAGAAATCCGCCTGCCTCTGCCTCCCAAGTGCTGGAATTAAAGGCGTGCGCCACTACTGACCAGCCTAATAAAATATTTTTAAATAATAAAAAGTATATAAGCACCTGGCAAAACACATGTCACAAAGTATTAAATTACTGTGTATCTCTTTCCTTCTTCTTTTGTTTACTCCCATGTTGTCCCAAAAAACTACCAGCATTAAGAAGCTTCCATTAGAAATATCAGGAATTATAGTTGATGGCCCTACCACTATTACTTGCAACAGAAGGGAATCTGATTTGAGGTTAGCACATGCAGACTGTTCATAGGGAACCACTGTGCCATCTAAATGCTAAATACTATTTGCTCTCGATAGGCACTTAAGGAAACTTGCTATTCCAGTAATCTCAGTATGGCAATAGGTGACAGTGAAGTCTAACTCAATGCAGCTTCCAAAATAAGACAAAGTACCTTGTATCTATTAGAAATATTAAAGTCAGAGCTAATTATTAAACATTTAAATTAAAATAATTTTTAACTTTTAAATGATGACATAACTACCAGATATACAATGTAAAATTATTTAGCTGTTAAGAAAAATGTAATTGTGAAATTTGCAGGTAAATGGATGGAGCCAGGAAACAACCATCCTGAGTGAGATACCCAGATCCAGAAAGACAAATACAACCTTCTCTCTCACATGTGGATGTTTGCTCGCTTTGATGCTTTCGATATATATGTTTCTTTTTGGTGCTCAGTGAGGTTAGGTGGCTAGTAAGAAATCATGGAGGAGGAGGGGCTCTTCAAAGGAAGAGGAAATCAAATCCAGTGTTATCCAGGGATAAAGGGGGATTAGAGCAGGAAGGTGAAATGGGGTGGGGGAGGATGGGAAGGCAGGGGATGTGGAGGGGATAGGTAACGCTGAGGGCCTTTTGAAGAAGCCACATGGAACCTACTACTGTAGAAGCTTCCTAATACACACACACACACACACACACACACACAAGCGCGCGCGCGCGAGAGAGAGAGAGAGAGAGAGAGAGAGAGAGAGAGAGAGAGAGAGAGAG